CTCTTTTGTTTAATTACCACCGGTTAGAAAAAAAACCTCTTTCCTGGAAGAAACAGCAAGAAACCCAGCGGGACTATTTAAAAAATAGGAGCTTAAAATCATGTATGGTACACAATTAACAACACAAAACAAATTGGAAATAGTTTGATAGCGATCACCTCATTCCCAGGGGTTATTATCATCCACAAATTCCTTAATATTATAATAATTCGTCTATACAAACTTAGTTTAATAAAGTTTTTGAACTTTGAGCAGGTCAGTTTTGTATATTTACTAGCATTTTGTTGTAAAAGCGTATACATCGTCCAAGAATGAATTACTGACTCGGTGGAGTCGAGTAGCGTACACCTAGGTTAGTTACTACGTTAGTAGTAACTATCTTGTGTCTGTTCCTCGTATTTACAGAATTAATATCACTTATTTTTGTAAACCTTTTTTATTTTTATGTACGTAAATTACAATGTCATAAATAAATTGAGAGGCGAAAGTTAATATGTTAATTTCCTTAAATTTGTCTGAACGACTCTTTAGGTTTTAAATCTTACATTGCTTTTATGGCTCTCTTCTGTAAAACAAATATAATTCCAGGGACGACCGCGCGCCCCCATAGCAAAATAAATAGCAAAAAAATCTTGCGAAATACAAAATTTTATCGTTGTTCCATTACCATTGCGGTCTAAATATAATAACAATGTAAGTGCGAGATATAAACCAATATTCGACGTCGTCGACGTGCAAATATACACTTTCGAGACCACAAAACCCACGAACGCGGCGAAACAACTATAAAACTTAGCCCTGCGAAGTACCGACAAAGTGATACGATTTCCCAACGCTGCTTGTTTTGTTGCTTTTACGAAGTTCTCATTCCGTTTAACTGTGCGGTTATGATTTCACAAATATATAGATATGTATATGTAACCGACATTTTATATTTATGTTTTTTTTTTATTGATCCACCAACATTTGTATCATTCCTTACATGCTAATTAAATACAATGAAGCGATAAAACTAAAATGTACAAATAATTACAGGCGGATACAACATGCAAATAACTTTCTCAGCACTGTGTACCTATATTACTAGGATAAAGAAAGATTAAAAAAATTATAACGAAATACATTACTAAAAATATATAGAAACGAAAAGGAAAGAACATATTTTATAGAATGTTACAAAAGATGGTCTCTTAAGGTGCGACGGAGCTTGTTAGGTGGGTCGAAAAATATATCAAATTTATCTCTAAATTTCTTAACAAGTTTACTCATTCTAGCAATTGGAGAATTAGAGCCAAACACTGTTCTTCTATATGGTCTGGTCAATGGTGTAATCTTACGAGCGTAACGCGGATAACGAAAGGGAACGCACATATTAAATTTACTTAAAATTTCAGGACAGTCAATAACACCACTAATAATTTTAGAAGCAAACATCAAATCAATAACACCACTAATAATTTTAGAAGCAAACATCAAATCAATAACACCACTAATAATTTTAGAAGCAAATATCAAATCAATAACACCACTAATAATTTTACAAGCAAACATCAAATCAATAACACCACAAATAATTTTAGAAGCAAACATCAAATCAATAACACTAACTAATAATTTTAGAAGCAAACATCAAATCAATAATATGCCTGCGGTTTTCTAGAGAAATAATTTTGAAATAGATCAAATTATTTTCATATGATACACGCTTCTTATAACTTCTAAATCCACTTGCGTATGACAAATGTCTTATAAATCTTTTTTGGATCCGCTCGATTCTTAGTTGATGTGTAGCGTAATAAGGTATCCAGACTACAGCACAGTACTCTAATATACTTTTTACCAAACTGTTAAATAAAATAGTTTCAATTTTAGCGCTTCGAAAGACTTTAATATATCTTAATTCTTTCTTTTATCTTCATGCCAATTAATGTTTGATTTGCATGAAGTAAGAAAATTCTTTGTCTTATTGTTTTCAAACCTTAAAATGTTTTAGACCTATCTATGTACAGATACGAATCATTAAATTCTTAATATAATGATAAAAACATCGCCGAGAAAACTATTTATTCATTGAATTCAACGCCTAAGTTTGTTCAAGCGAACGAAAACTATATAAAATGTGGCCCTTTGTTTTAAGAATATTATTCTTGGTTTTCGTATAAGTAACCAACACAGTCCAACTGATAGTAACTGCATGCTGTGGGCCCTCAGGTTTCTACATATTCCCTAGATTAAGAATCAAAGTGCAATTGCCTTCTAATCATAGAATACTATAATACATCCAAAAGGTATTCTATAATTGTTACCCCTTAGTACAAAGATAAAATGTCTCATTACCAGTAAAAATGCTCTAGCACTGTAAAAATAAATATGTATGTACCCAATGATTTCTTATATTTACGCGAACACTACACATTGAAATAATACTAATTTTTACGGAATTTATCGCGTATATTTAACTTTTTTACCCGACGTTTCGAGAGCTTTACAGCACCCATGGTCACGGGAAGGACTGAGATGTTCAACGTCCAGCTGTCATAGTTAACTGCGGTCACCATAGATTCAAATTTAACTTTTGTTCCGATCTACACAGTATGAACTTATGGTATCATGGAGTCTTGCAGTTGTATGCTTGGGTTGGGATTTAATTTTATTTATTATAGGATCCCAAGCAGATGGTAGCACCCAGCCATCTTCTCTATTGAAATTAGGATGTTTTTTGATTTCAATAGCCTCGCGAATCATCCTTGGAAGGAATCGGTGTTCTTTAGCGAGGATTTGTGGTCTATCAAATCTGATGTAGTGACGGGGGCGATCCTGTACATGTTCACAGACTGCAGACTTCCCGGAGCGTCGATTCTTCACATCAGCTATATGTTCTTTGACGCGGGTTTTAATTGATCTTTTAGTTTGTCCTATGTAGGAGAGACCACATTCACAATCAAGCTTGTACACTCCTGCATCTTGCAGAGGGACGTTACACTTGACTGATGGTAAAAACTGACCAATCTTCTTCGGCGGCTTGAAGTATGTTTTGATGGAAGCGCGCTTCAAGATGTAGCCAATCTTGTCAGTGACTCCTCTAACATATGGCAGTACAGCAGGTACACGCTCGACTGTGGCCGGCTTCACTCGTTCTCTGTGACGTAGGCGCGGGACCCGAAGCTTGTTGTCATGCAAAACTTGCTTGACATGTTGGAGCTCGGCAGCCAGGTGTTTACTGTCACAGATCCCCTGGTGCTCTCTGAAACAAAGATTTACCCACGGTAGCTAACTGTGAAGGATGGTGGTGAGAATCACCGTTTAAATATCTATCTGTATGGGTCTTTTTTCTATACACAGTATGGCTCAAGGTGTTATCAGGATTCCGAATTACTAACACATCTAGAAAAGTACAATACTTTATCTAAAGGTAGAATTGTGAAAGTGTCGTTTCTACCTTTAGATAAAGTATCTGCATTTTTAGACCATCTTAACTCTATAAATACTAAAATTCAGTTCACAATGGAGTTAGAGGCAAACAATTCCTTAGCTTTTCTAGATGTGTTAGTAATTCGGAATCCTGATAACACCTTGAGCCATACTGTGCATAGAAAAAAGACCCATACAGATAGATATTTAAACGGTGATTCTCACCACCATCCTTCACAGTTAGCTACCGTGGGTAAATCTTTGTTTCAGAGAGCACGAGGGATCTGTGACAGTAAACACCTGGCTGCCGAGCTCCAACATGTCAAGCAAGTTTTGCATGACAACAAGCTTCGGGTCCCGCGCCTACGTCACAGAGAACGAGTGAAGCCGGCCACAGTCGAGCGTATGCCTGCTGTACTGCCATATGTTAGAGGAGTCACAGACAAGATTGGCTACATCTTGAAGCCCGCTTCCATCAAAACATACTTCAAGCCGCCGAAGAAGATTGGTCAGTTTTTACCATCAGTCAAGTGTAACGTCCCTCTGCAAGATGCAGGAGTGTACAAGCTTGATTGTGAATGTGGTCTCTCCTACATAGGACAAACTAAAAGATCAATTAAAACCCGCGTCAAAGAACATATAGCTGATGTGAAGAATCGACGCTCCGGGAAGTCTGCAGTCTGTGAACATGTACAGGATCGCCCCCGTCACTACATCAGATTTGATAGACCACAAATCCTCGCTAAAGAACACCGATTCCTTCCAAGGATGATTCGCGAGGCTATTGAAATCAAAAAACATCCTAATTTCAATAGAGAAGATGGCTGGGTGCTACCATCTGCTTGGGATCCTATAATAAATAAAATTAAATCCCAACCCAAGCATACAACTGCAAGACTCCATGATACCATAAGTTCATACTGTGTAGATCGGAACAAAAGTTAAATTTTAATCTATGGTGACCGCGGTTAACTATGACAGCTGGACGTTGAACATCTCAGTCCTTCCCGTGACCATGGGTGCTGTAAAACTCTCGAAACGTCGGGTAAAAAAGTTAAATATACGCGATAAATTCCGTAAAAAATTAGTATTATTTCAATGTATGTACCCAGACACACCGGCTGACAAAAATTTTACAAACGGTTTTTCATGTTAACGACGTGCAAATAACTCCTTTAGTTCGATAAAAGGCTGTTATTTCTATATCAAAAACACTTTAATATATTTTATACGTAGATATGATATTTTATATGTAGATAACACTAAGGCTATACGATACTTAACCGAGAAGAGAACCTGACTATGAATCATATCCAACTGCAGCAAGGTGTAAGGTACAGAAGGTGACGTGACATCCGTAAAACTCTTCATGACTGCATTTGAAGATTTTTTAAGCTACTGGACTGGTAAGAATACAGCATCAAATTTAATGACGACACCCTCGGGTATATATGGGCATTTTATGTTGTTATTCTATGTGATCATGACCATTTTTCCCCAGACCCATTAGTTCTGCAGAGTGTAAAATTCACTTACACTATTTTAATATATTATTTCATAAGCAATTCTAATAAAAATTTCCTATGCAGGTGTGGTTCCAAAACAAACGGTCAAAAGAACGTCGGTTGAAGCAGCTGACCTCAATGGGCAGGGGTCCGTTCTTCGGCTCCTCGCGTAAGATGAGAGGTTTTCCAATGAACCTCTCGCCAGGTGGTCTCGAAGAAGGTCCGCCGGGGTTTCCTTACTTCGCGACAGCAGATGGCAAGTTCGAGTTTGGCTATGGCCCGCCGTTCCACCATGATGCACCATTTTTCCATCCGCCCCCGGCGATGCCTTTCAACCAGCCAGGTTGGTAAACTAAGTTGGATTACATTTAAACTATATTATATCAATTATTATTATACATTCATGCTTAACCTTACGCCTATAATTCTCGAAAAGCATAGGCAGACCACTAAGAGCAGACGGTCCACGTTTAGCCAAAAAATGTGAGTTCAGATGAAAAATTGTGAATGAACTATAAGTCCCAGACCAACATGGGATCTATATATCTTATAAATACTTCCTAAAAATACTAAGCTGACATTATTTTCTTAAATGTGTTCTCCTGGCTGATTTTCACTACGGAATAGTGTTTGAAACGAACGAACGAACGAACTAGTTAATTTCATTTACAAACTTATCAACCTGTTTTCAATATATAACAGTCTATTTGTTAATTATTTAACTACTTTACGACAACGAAGTTAAAAGAAAAATTACAACAACCCTCTCACTGACCCTGAAAGTCCACTGCCGCAAATGGGTCTTTCCTTGGAACGACGATGTATTTTGATGTAGCTTGAGGTCACAGGATCTTTTTGAGCATTTTCTTTAGCCCTATTACGACACCCACAAGATTATGGTAAAGCTCATCTACAAAATCATCACGTCTACAAAGTCATTCGTTGAACGTAAGATTGTAACAAATCCACCACTATCACGTCAACTTGAAACCGCTATCAAAAGCGTCCACTACGTAAGATATAATATTTAGAGCCACCTTACCTTAAATACCTACGCATAAACTACACATAAGCACTAATTTTTTCCAACTTCAAAAATTTGTGAATTTGCACAAATATTTGCTTCTGCTGAGACTCGAACTTACGGTCTACGGTGTTTTAGACTTTACCTGCTAGGTTATGTGAAACGAAATAATTATATCGAAATATGAAGTAATTTGAAATCTTTAAACAAGAATAGTAACCAACAATATCACACATACCAGGCGCTTAGTAACGGGAGCAGGTCGTTTCGCAGGCGGTATGGAGTCGCTGCCCGGCGGCGAGTTCCCCGAGCAGTTCCCACCGCCCGAGCACCTCGTGCTCCCGAGACCCTCGTCACCGGAGTTCACTTTCGGCGACGCCCCTCCCCCTCTCCACCCCGAGGGTCTCGTCTGGTAGCTGAAGCCGGAGCCGCGGGACTTCCACGACTGATGCGGCTCAACGGGGTACAAAGTGGACTTTTGTAACAGTGTTATTATCTAAAGTATAAACGTGATGTGACGTTTTGACGAATTTCGAACTTGGAACGTTTTTTGTGACGCGTATTTTTTTTTTCAAACGCAAACGGCGATTGGTGAAGTTTTAATGGACCTTAGTGTTAGCAGTATACTTATGAGCATTCCGAATTGATGATTTTTTTTTGAAATAAACTTATTGACAAGTTTTTAAATTAAGAATTAAATAACATTATAATTTTTGTAAACTAAATATGAAGTTTCTAAAATCATGAAGGACTTTTTGACTTATTTCTAACAATAGCATTTGAAACGCCTTTTTTAAACTTAAAACAATATTTATTTAATAATAAGATTCTTGCTTAATGAGTGTAAGCCTAAACAGCAATTCTTGTTGATTTTATTATTTAACTCGTTAAAATATTATTTTGTGATTACTATCTGTGTGAATAGTGTACAGAAATGAAATTTTATAATATCGACTTTTTATAAGTTAGTATAATATAATTTATTTACAGTGGCATAGAATAATCATTGTTTTGGTTCCTATTTTAAGATAGAAGTGTAACGCATTTTTGTGTATTTATTGTTTATTTCTTATATAATTAGCACATTTTCTATATAGAAGATTTATATAAGTACTATTTCAGTGTATGAATAGAAATTTTGTAAAGATCTTGCCAATGTATATAATACCTATCTATATTATTTGTAAATAAAATATCTAAATCAGGAGACATCTTGCAGGATTTTCTCACAAAAAGAGGTAATTTGTAAATAATAGATGGAAAAATTATGTATGATATATATTAAAAGTAGTTGTATCTATCTTACGATAGATGTCTAGGCCTAGTTGATTGAAGAAAAGAGTAATTTCTACATTCTTTCTTATTCCACTGGTAATATATTTTAAATATTAACTTCAAACAAACACCACGACGACAGCTCGCATGTTTAGTACATATTTTTATAACAAGAACCAGTGAATTTTTGTTGGAAATTAAACATTAAATAAAATACAAAATCGAAGGAAACGTTGAATTGTAGTCGCGATAAATTTTTTTAAATAAAGTTCCGTATATATTATAACCACAATCGATTTTTTCAATTAAAAGATAATGGTATATCTACACATTGCCTGGTTTTATTCGCATTATAGTTTTAAAAATCGTTACTATTATAGCAGGGGTTTTCTTTATCAAGGTGTTTTATACATATATATATTGGGCACGGATATACATCCAGACCCGAAGCAATTATTTGTTTGCCTATAAGGCCGCTAATCTTTGTTCCTTGTATAGTAAGCGAATTCGTGAAATTTTCCTATTCGTATTTTTCGTTTGTTTTGCCTTGTTACATGGATATTTTAGGTGTACTTCAGAACTATAATACCTAATTTGTCTTACATCACATTATACCTATATATCACATTATTAAAAATAGAACTTTAAGTCCCTGGTACGATGCTTTCTAAGGATACGCCCACAGAATCGTGAACATAAGTATTTGCAAGAATTACACATTCCCACCACTTTGGACATACGAATTGGTTGGCTGGTGCTGTTGTAATACCTCGCCGGCCTTTAAAAAGCTGGTTGAGGGTGGATTATCCATTAGTTAGAGGATGTCTAAAAATAAACGAAAAAAATTAAAGTAGATTTTTTTGAAAACTGATTTTTCTTTACAATTCTTTGTGATTAATCTTATTAATATACTATACATGTGAAAAATGATTGCCGTAATATTTGTCCAAGAATCTTGACGGGTCAATTTCTTACGAAATTTGGCATAGAAATCGATTACCTACTTTATGGAGTAAGACGTATAAGGTATATGAGGGTAATATGGTCACATTAAGCTTTGCCGTCCTATCAAACCAAAACTAGGAGGAGGACAGAGACAAAAACAAAAAGTCGTATGCTATAACTAATATATTAAGAAAAAACTAGCAAACAAGCTTTGGCATTAATTAGGAACACTTCGAAAAATCTACTTAAAACTAACTACACTACACCATACTAAAATCGACGAATCATTTATATTTTACTATAATGTCGAATAAGATAAAGCATCGCCCTTTTCACCCTTTATTATTTGATTGACCAATGAAGAGCAATCGTATCACACAGCCATCTATACAAACAAGGCTGTAGTTTTAGACTTAATAAGAAAGCGATCATAATTGCCGGATGACGATATTACTCTCACGTACTATATTCTTATTTTGAGCGAAACTGCCAGTCAACAGCTAGTTATTTTATATCACCATCATCATCATCATCATTACATTTCTCTGCACCCTAACAACCAGTCTACTGTTGAACACAGGTCACTCCAAAAGATGCCGCAATGACTTGACCTTTATAAAGCCAATTGACAGATTAAAAAAAATGGCGGCGTAACATATTTCTTTGAATTTATTTTATACAAAATATTTTCTCGCGACTACAATACAACGAAGTGTTTGTAAATCAGGATATATTTAGGTGTGTACACTTATTTATGTGTTTATATCCAGTACATACTGTTGTCTATCTGTATTTAGTAAATAAAATATAATGGAATTGTCTGTAAGAATAAAATCTATTCGATTAATTTCGTCGTTTTATTTTGTTTCACCTACATCGGATCTAACGATCGTAATTCGCCAGTTAATGAAAAGTTATACGTGGTAGAGCCACGCTGCAGCTATATTATCGCTGTGCACACAAGAACAGCGTAAAATAGCGGCTTAATGCTGCTATTTTTAGTATGGTAAGTGTAGAGAACCAAAGACCGTTTTAATGGAACGAGCATTCCATCTCAGCCCTCGTGATTCTTAATTGAGAATAAATGTGGATGTCTATGGGCCACAGCATCCACTTACCGTCAGGTGGACTGTGTGCTCGTTTGTCACCCTTATTCTATAAAAAAATGAATGAGCTAATTTCTACATAACTAAACTGGATTATGCAATCAATGATGTGCCGACCAGTAGGCATTATGATCATTTCAGAATTTTCTGAAAACTATTTAGAATTTAGATTAGATTCTAAGTGGGACTCCTTTTCGAGGAAGCCTTTTGCATTCTCTGCATAGAAACCGCCTTCTTATCTGCTTCTGCCACCAAAAAGCAAAGCATGCACTCTTGTGTTCCGGTCTGAAGGGAAAAGAGAGAGAAAAGGAATAGAGAGCCACTATAATTATAGGCTGTAAGGCATTCCTTCTTATTCCTCAGAGATGATAACGCATCTGTAGTCTTATTTGTGTTCGTTTGTCACTTAATTACGATTATTATAAAAAAAAATATTTGGCACTATGTAACTAATATGCGTACCATGAGTGCTAGAGGGGCGCTTCAATACGCTTGCACTGTTCATGGGGTAACGTGGAGCATAAAGTCAAAGTATCTGTGTTAAAACTCCTACGCGTCAATTTTTATGATTATTTACCCCTACTCTGAAAAATATAATAAGAACGTGAAGCTTCAAAGCAAAATGTAAATATATAAAGATAGTGATCCAGGCTTTTTATCTGGAAGACGTGCAAGATTATTTTTTGTAAAATATAAAACCTAATAAAATAAATGGTTTTTAACGGTTCTACCTCAAAAACAATAAGTATTAAATTTATATCAACTCAATAAATAAATTTTAAACATAACATTTTTCGTTTTAATTTTACACAAAAAATGTCCTTACAACTTTCTGTCCTACCTACTACATCTTTCTCTCCGTCTAACGCCATTTTTCAACAAAATTAAAAATGTTTTAAGACTAAGGTGGTAGACCTATTTTATGCGAAACAAATCGATATTTGTTTTATATTTTAACCAGTTTTTTTTATATTGCACGTAGTTTGCGACGTTTGAGTAGTAGTTTTTCGATAAGTTGTCCAAAGACCATTATAGATCTGCAACTTGTATTCTGCGCGTAAAAGCCAACGGATAAAAGTAAGTCAATTAAATGACTGATTAATCTTAGACCGTTGCGGTTATTGTGAACAGAAAAGAAAGTAAAAGCAAGTGTCAGCAAGCCATAGTTAAGGAAATACGCACTCAGAGGTTCAGAGTTAGAGGGTAGATAACAATCAGATATGTGATTATGTGTTGTTGAATGTGCTAATTAAAAAATTTACGACTATACAAGCTCTCTTGATATTTTTTCGTAGAAATATAAATATTTCAAGGACTTCAAAAGTCCACTGGGTTAGCGTGGTAAGAAGTCCGCCTGCAGAAGTTTTGCATACGTAGCTTTTACAGACGGAACATACGGTCAGTGCGCGACCATTAATTTCAATAAAACGGATAGTCCTGAAGAGGGCTTAACTCCTAATCATTTTCTTATCCGACTTTCATGTGGAGATAGTCCACCTGGATTGTTTATGAAAACACATTTAATTGGTCACCCAATCTTAGAAGCTACTTAGAAGTTAGATGATCATTTTCGGTCTATATGGCTGAAAGAGTATATGCCAACTTTGATACCTCGGAGGGGCGACAACGGCAGGTTTATAGAACCCAAAGCGGACGATGTCGTCTTAATAGCACTTTAGCAGAGAATAGTCGTTCTCTGCTAAGTTACCGTCTCACAAACGAAAGAAGGAGCCCAGCAGTGAAATTTATCATTCATTACCTATAAAAATTCCCTCTACTGAACATAGGTCTGCGCAAATATTGCCTCTAATACTGTCAACTATGGTGAATACACCCTGTATTTGCCATAGCTGCCACGCATGGCAGGGTGATGGGCAACATAAATTATTAATTTTGTAGCTTTTTTATGTATTTTTAGAATAAGGACAACAAACGAGCACACAGTCCACCTGATAGTAAGTGGTTACTGTGACCCATAGACATCTACATATAACCTCGATTAATAATCAAAATGTAGATACGTTGTCATCCCTGACAACTAAGATGGAATGCCTCGTTTCCAGCGAAAGGATCTCCAGTTCTCTACATGC